ATTGACACGCTTCATCTTCACATTTTAACCAATTCTAAAGAAACAAGAGGAAATCATTTTAAATATGATATTTTCAATTTCTTTCTTTCTTACATACTTCATAGTAACGTTTAATATAATTTTTAATTGCTAATGTTAAATTATTTCGTATAAATGCCATGTTCTCAAGTGGTTGCATTTTGCAGTCTTTATTTAAACAGTGCAGTAGGATGCAAGAACATGAATCACCCTAAAAATATGACGCACAGAGTCGAATAAGTAGAATAGAAGTGAGATAGTTTTAGTTTCGTTCTTTCTAAAGAGAATTGATTGGAACTGACATCGGCAAACATGTACAAACAGAAACAAGAAGAACAGTACAAAAGTAAAATAAAAATTCGTTTTACACGAATTATGAACAAAACCCATCAACTTACATTATTTCTTATTAGTCAAACAGCAACTAAGTTTTTCTCTTATGACGAGAACATAGTTACTGTTTGACGCTCAAGAATATAATTACCCTACTAGTTTCGCAACTCGTGAAATTTCAGTTTTTCACACATTGATCAGCGCACATGAAGCAGATCCTACTTTCTCATCAGTGGATAAACTATGCTATTGTTCCTGATAAAAAATAACTGTCAGTTTAAATGCTTTTTCAATAAAAACCAATGACCAGTAGACACCTTGCTGCTGTTATCACTTTTTTTAACTTTCCACAAGAACTGTACCTGTAACAGATTAAAACCATTTATCAAACGGTCTACTTACTTCACTGAATATGAATGGTGCATTCCATTCATTTTTCGTTTGACATTTAAAACATTGAAATGTAAACTTTTCACAATTTTTATATGTTTCTAACTCAGATAACATTTGATTCTGATCATCTGATTTATCATGCACATGACGATGCTTATAACGAGATGGATCAAGGCCTAATAAAAACAATAAGCAATAATTGATTATACGCTTTTATTTAGTATTTCTTCGCTTCTGTACCTAGGCATTGTGCAATAATTGCTTGATCTGTTCCTTCGAACGGTTCCATTAAGCGTGATACAACCGGTAAAATTTGTTGATGTAAATAATATTGATTATCAATTTTCAATGTTGTTGAAAGAGCTATTTCATCTTTTGTATAAGCACGTTGCATTGCAGGTAAATTTGTACCATCCTACGGCAAGCAAAAAGATTGTTCAACTCTTGAACGTTTAAATTTGAATTATCGTACATACTTCACAAATAATATAAGCAATTGCATCACCTCGTTTCATTTTTCGTCCCGTTGAATTTGAATTCAAACGTAATGCTACTTGAACATGTGGTAAACTTTTTTTATCTGGATAATCTTTGGGATCTTTTGATAATTGCTAGAGAAAAAACAAAAAAATACTCATATTCGTTTAATTGAATATATCAAACATGAACTATCTTACTCGAACAATTTCATATAAATGAATATCGATTAAATTATTTGACATTTCTTCTCCAAGTTCTCTTAATCTATTATGAATTGTATCCAATACATCATCTCGACTTTGACCAGAGAGTATAATAGAGACAACGAATCTTAAATACAAAAAACAAAATCTGTGTAGATTTCTATTTTTATCCATATATTGTGATAAATACATACGCGCCAGTCTGTCGGGCTAATTGACACCAATCTCTTCGAACAATATCCAATCCTTTTAATTCAGTTTTTGTTATAAATTCTTGAGTTATTGGAGATTTTTCAATAATTAATGCAGCATATTTTTTCTTTTTCAATAATAACATACATTTAAATACGCCATCAATACCAATTTCAATATGTTTAAATTGACGGTTGATTTCATTACGGATCTAAAAAAACGTAGAATATGCGCAATCCAGTAAATAATTTTATAGTCAAGATCATTTACCTTTGAACCAATGGTTAAAACTTGATCATAATCAATTGAATTAGTATTAATCATAATGCTGTCTGTATCACCGTAAATAACATCGTAATTCATCTTGAAAATAAAAGCCAAAATTACTTATAAAAATAGTATAATAAAATTACCTACGTGTTCAACAATATGTTTTGCCTTCATTAATATCTAAAATGAAAAATTGACTATCAATGCGATAACTTTTGTATATTTTCTATAAATATGTTCATTCTATTTGAATAGTAGTTCTCTTTTTAAACTTACATCTCGTCCTTTATAAGTGATAAATGCTGCCAATGGTTTGCAATAAAATCTTGAATATTTAAAACCAAGACATCCATATAAACTATTTGCCGTTAATTTATAGGCTTTTTGACGAATATCATACTAAAATGAATCAACAAACAAAATTAATTCTTTCTCGGAACTTATTGGGCTAGACAGTTTTTCATGGTATATTTTCCAAAAAATATCATAGAGCAAATTCATGAAAAAACTTCTCCAAGTGCCCGCTCACTCTTCCCTTCAAATCTATTTAATTATACATTATTTTTGATACTAATGATGAATATATTGTTCATTCGGACTGATGTGACTGTTTTAGGTCACTCTCAGAAAATCTGATTTCTAGAAATTTACACTAAATTCCATAATCAACAAAATTTCGATTCATTCAGTGTATAGAGCTCGTCGTTCGTTACTCTTACGAAAAGTTTTCAGAATTATCAAACAAATTTACCACTTCATTTTTTGAGAAGTATAACCAACCTTACAGTTTTATTTTTTTACACTAAATTTCTATGGTTGATCGAAAATTTTGTCGATAGTTCAAAAACTTGAGAAGCTCTACAAACTGGATAAATTAGAATCTGTTCAGTATGTTACATAGAGTGAACCGGATTTTCTCAGATCGATCTAAAACATCTTCATCCATCGAAATGGGCAACATATTGATGATCAACATCAAAAATAACATATAACAAAATAGATTTAAAGTGGAAAAGCGAATGGACGTTCCCTCGTCATTAAATCAAATCAGCTCTATATCGCTCAGTAATCTTACCTGCACGAGTTGTTCTTCAGTTGCATTTTTCTTTTCTTTGATTAATTTTTTGACTTCACGACGTCTTTCAACTAATTTGTATATTTCTAATGGTAAAATACCTTTACTACCAGTACTACTCGAATCAAATTGAATTATTTCATAGTTATCTTCGTCATCATCTCCATCTTCTTCGTGATTAGACGGTAACTTATCTGGTTGAGTTAAATCTCCATTGTTCTAACAATAAAAATAGAAGTTATTCCAACTGAATAATTTATCTTAAATCTTTCAGTTACTTTATCTGATAATGGTTTTTTCAAATAAGTTGTGAAACAAACATTGAATTCTTGTATAATCGACGGATATAAACTATTAAAATCAAGCAATAAAATGTAACGATCGTAAAAACCTATGCATTAAAAAAGAATGAAGATGTTATGAACGAAAAAAAAGTGAACTAAAGTATAACCACGTGAAATATATTACCTTTTTTTGGCTGTAGTACAAGTCCACCGGTGTAGGATGATGATGACGCTTTTTTCTTCTTTCCATCTTCTTCATTTCCAACATCGGCATTCTGATCGTCCTCGTCTGATTCGTTCTAGAAGTCAATATATTCTGTAGATAACCATTCATTCCACATAAAGAGAATAACTTACAGCTAAATGAACATCATTTCGTTTTCCAGCACGTTGCATTGGAACTTTATCAGGAACAATATAATCTTTTTCCGTAAATGCATGTAATAGCAAATGATCATTTCTTTCCGATCGTCCACCCATTAACGTGCGACTCTATAGATTTAAAAAAACGATTAAAATAATGTTTAATACTTTTTTTCTCATTTACCAATAGATTTCCGGCAATGCATGTTAACTGATAAGCAAGTGGTAAAACCATTAATTGACAAAAAATATTCAGAATTAGAGACGTATTATTCAAAGTTGCTTGAACAAGATCGATAAGTGTACTTGAAGTACTAGAAATAACAAATATTGTTTAAATATGAATTAACTACTATTGATAATATTCTACTTGTATGAGTCTCTGATTTGTTCAATATTGTATTGTCGATAGAGTTCATATTGTTGCTGTGTTAAAACTGTTTTACATAATTCGTCTAAATCATATGATTTACATTTTGTTAATAATTCACGAGCTGATACGCTAATATCACATAATAGACGACCGTATGTTGGATTTTTTATTGCTGAAACCTAAAAACAGATAAACAGAATAATACAATTATACAATAGGACAGTTTTATTTTGAATTTTACCTTTGTTTTTGAATCGTATATACGATGAAGACGGCCAATCTTTGATGAGGTTAAACCTACTTTTAATTTTTGACATCGAGTCAAAAATAATTCCAAACCAAACATACGCATATCATGACCCTGAAAATAAAATTTCAAAATATATTAGAATAATAAAAATTAATTGACTAATACTTACAACAATCACATCTGGATCAAGTGTTTGAAGTTTCGATATCAAATACGTAAGTAATGCACGTTCACTAGCCACAGTTTCAAGTTTTATATTCTAAAAACAAATGAAAATGAAATATTTTATATAGTAAATTAATATTGCAAACGCACTCACCTGTGTATCAGCTACTTTTGATAGACCAACTGGCAAAATACATTCATTTGTTTTTGTTAACGCTGTACAGAGATGAACAAAGATAATATATTAAAAAAAAGATCTATAATTCGTTTAATATACTGACACCCGACAAGATAACGTCAGATGTTCTATGAATCAAATAAAAATCAAATGCTTGTTGATTTAACTTTTAAGTAGAAAAAAACGACTAAATTCTTGACCCTCGAAAGATCTTCTGTTGCGTAAGTATTTCAGTAATTATCGGACTTGATGTATGGTAAAACAACTTGAGAAGACCTTTATAAAAGTATTACATTCAATACTTGAAAAAGCTTACCAACAAAATAGTTTTGATATTGTGGATTTGGTGCACCACGATCAATCGGAAATTGTTGATGAACAAGACCAGCAACACTAACCAACTAGATGAAAAGATAGAAAATAAGGTTCATTAGAACTTTTTCTAAGTTCGAAAATGTCGTCATACTTCTGTTTCATGTGTTTTTGTATTTGGTAATGTAACAAATGATAAAGTTAATGTCACTACTGGTGGAAGATCTGTACGTTGAAAATTTATTTCAACATTTGATAAGTTTTTCTCTAGATCAGAATAATAGTCGACACTATATTCAACTTTACACCAACTGCGTCGTAATTTGACGGGAACTAAACGAAAAAACAACAGTTGAATTAATATTTCATGACGAGTATGGATGTTTATGATCATTTCTAATTGGAACGCTTAGAAAAGATAAGATGAGCTTTTAGTTGATGAACATACGTTGATTTGTAACCAGTGTTCTACTCAGCACATGTCTATTCGTTTCAAACTGGATAAAAACAAAACATTGTTAACTTACTACACTGTCTAATTTTTAACCAACATGGTCCTTTCAATTTTTTATCAACTAATACATATTCAAGTGCATACTGATTTGTACCAAATATATGACTAAATGTATCACCTTGTAAATTACTTGGTAAAGATGAACACCGAGCCTTTAAAAAAAGTTGAAGTAATAATAACTAATACTTTTTCACACGATTTTATCTCTTACAGGATATTTAATCTCAACATAATCCATTTCAACGAGACCGTCTGTAGAAGATAAATCACATTCGTAACGTTTTTTTTTGACAATCTAAATTTCAAATAAAAATGAGTGAAGTGACTGCACGACATAAAATAAGACATACCGAACATGTATAATTGGTTATTTTATATTTTTTTGCTACTCCTTCAAATTCATTTTGAACATCAACCACTGAATTCTAAAAAAAACAAAATTTCAAATAGCGATGTATTTATACTGATATATATATATATACTGTTGATCATACATTTTGTTTCGGTAATAAGTAAATTTGTTTTGGAATATTTTCAATAATAATACAAACACTGACATAGGTTGCAGTCGGTAAATCATCATTCTTCAACGGCATTTTACCAAATAAGAACAGTTTACCTAAAATTGACAAAAAGTATATTTGATAAAATTAGTTTCACTGGTATAATCTCACTGCAGTTGCACATATTATATTAATTCTAGTTGAAAGCATTAAATGATCACCGAAGAAGCAAGCAAACAAGCAAACAAACTTCCACATAGAAAAACCTACTTAATCTTAGATGTAAACTGCAATTATGCACTCTAAATCAGATGAATTCTAATTAAAACTATCATCTCCTACCAGCTTGTGTAATATTGTCTTCATACGCATCAAACCAAAAAACATGAATTTGATTTGTAGTCGAATTTGTTTCGTTATTTGCTGATGTTGTTGATGATAATGTAGTGTCATTAGTTGTCAAAGTTGATTTAATCAGTTCTTCGTCAGATACAAATTGTAGTTCTTGGGTTTCATATTGCATCGATGTAGGACGAAGTGGCAATGATTGTGAGGTACTTCGAAGCAGTTTTTCGGCCGATTGAAAACCCATAAAGGCATCATTAGTTTTATTTGACATTTTTTGATCGTTTACATTAACGTTTGCTAGTAAATCACTATCATCGTCGTCACCCCAATCGATTGCATTCACTTTCTGTTTCTCAATCGTTGTTATGGGATTATCATCAAAATCATCACTGAATGCTGCTAAATAATCCTCGTTTGACATCAACGAATTTTGAATGTCGGACGTTTTCTCTGGAATCTTGGGTTGAGAAATAGGCGGTGGATGATGCATTTGAAGTGTGGTTGAAGATGGCAAGGGTCGAGTAACGTTGGAAGTTGCTGACGAAGAAGGAACCGTAATCTTTGATATTTTTGTATCACGAACTTTTACTGTTTTTGTTTGTAATTCTTGCATTATATCAAATAACAAATCATCTGCGTGCATTTTTTGTTTCTAAATAATGAACAAAAGACTACATTTTAGAGATGAAGATGATTTCTTTTTACTAACCTCTTCTTGTTTTTGTATCGTTCGTTGTTTCGATGCAGCAAACATCGCTTTAATATCATTGTTAACAACAATATCTTCTTGTGGCTTTGAATACGTTTGTCCACGACGTTTTGAATCTAAAGAAAGGATCATATCTTTTTTAAACTTTAATAATCTTTACCATTTCATCTCTTACCTTTTATTTTCTGTTTTGAGTCACTTTCAACATCTTCCGCTTCATCATCATTGTCAGATGTTTTTGATTCTAAAGAGAACAGTGTCGTAATGAGTGCACGATTGAATAGTTGAATATCTTTCACTTACGTTCATTCTTCAAACGTTTTACACTACGTTGCTGTTTTTGTTGTTTTGATTTTCTTTTACCATTTGATGATAGTTCATCAGTTTGATCATAATTTTCATAGTCACTATATTCATCATGATCAATATCATGCTCGGATTCATCATCCTAAAATAATTGATAAATATGTGCAGTAGATGTATGACAATATTTTGCCCTGCTTGTTTTTAAAATGTCCGACTTGGATGTATATTTATTCGCTAGAAAATGACTACTACTCAGAAAAAGGATAATGCAATAATTTTTACGACATTTAGGACATCGCTGGTGCACGATCTGAAAGTTTTTTTGCAAGGACAGATACAAGGGATGTAACACGGAAATGGACGAACTCTCTTTCACATTGAGGAGAAATAATATTTTACGATGCCTAAGTTAAAAATCATGCAGAATAGTCGTCATCGATTTACCTCCAAACTAATTTTTTCCCCTGTTAGACGGGATTGTTTCAATTTTTCTAATGCACCTAAACGTTTGGTGTCATTTGTAGTTGATTGTCGTTGACGACGTGCTCCTAAAACGGGACAAGAATCTCAATTTCTTAACCAAATTATTTAAAAAACCGTCTACTTACTATCTGTTGACATTGTCAAATAAAACACATGAAAGTATTATTTACAAGATACAAAATCTTAAAAAAGACATTATAACACGATAAGATAAATGATGTGTCGGCTTTTGCTAACTAATGATTAAATAAAACAAAATGTATGCTCAAGATTTTGAGTTCCATTTTGTTTAGATTAAACGCTAACAAAATTGTTCACGAAATGAACATCAAATTCAAAAAAACATGTACAATTTTTTTCTAGTTTATTAAATGACATTCACAGATACACAAATGAAAAATTTCTTTACTCGTAAAATATTGAATAGGAAAGAGAAAAATCACAGTATGTGAAGAAAAACTAGATAGACAATAAAATGACATGTGAGTCGCCTAACATATAAGAAAAAGGCAATCGAGATAGTCTAGTTCGGTGGGATAGAGACAGAGAGAGAGAGAGAGTACTCTATAATAAATATTGTTTTAAATAAATAGACAAATAGATATACTGGATAGTCAGCTACATTCTTTTTGTGAGCACATCGTACCCTTTGGATGACATTCGAAAGTGCAGTGTGAGAAGAAAACAAGACCGGTAATTTTTACAACAAACATATAAATATATTGCACGTCTGATATAACAAGAGAGAAAAGAAAAACAATCTATCCACGATAAAAGAAAAAATCAAAATGCATTAAAAATGAAAGTTTTTGTTCTAATTCATGAATATTACTTTAAAAAAACAACAACTTGTGTCAGATCAATGGAAAAAAATTTTATTTTGGAATGATTAATCATTTTTGAAGAGAAAATTCAAGATATAATTTTTTATTTCAGAGAAACTTAGAATAGCATGACTGGTATTAGACAAGTTTCAATGAACAGACAATCGTCTCTTCACTACTCTTAATAGTGAATGTACCACATGTTGATACTAACATGCAAAAAAGAAAAGAAAACCTACAAATAGAAACGTATTATTGAACTACACCTTCTGTTGCCTGTAATAGAATGGATCTAATCGTTTCTATCTGTCACAATTGTGTTTAGCATTTTGAGATCAATAAGTAATAGCTCATTCAAACACGTTTTTCTCACGAAATGAATCGTTCAAGCAAAGTAAAATAAAAATGATTTTTTTTTCTCTACTTTAAAAAAAAATTGAAAAAAAAGGAAATGATTAGAAATTTCTGTTAGGAATGTACAATAAAATATAGAAGAAAACAAACGTCTATTATCGTATAAAACGTTTCTTTTATATGCGTGTTACTTTTTATGTGTTGTAACATTTTCGACTAAAAATAATTGCGCACAAACAACATTTTATAAAGAAAACATACCGCTGTATATAGAAATAGAAAAAGACGCACGCAAACAATAAAGAAATTTAAAAAATACTACTAATATGACGACATATGAATTGATTAAGAAATAGAAGGGAATAAAATGAAAATATGTTTGGCTAGCCTTTTGCATTATTAAAATTGATCTTCCAATAATTCGACCAAACGTGTGGCAACCGCATCTTTGCTCGCACGTACAGACAAACGATACATCTAGATAAAAGAGAGAGAGAGAAAAAAAGAAACAGTAATAGATTTGTAAAACGTAACAAGAATTTCGAGATTTTTCTATTATACTTACTTTTGCTGGTATATTTGGTTCTAAACGATACAGACATCCAATTTGTTGTCCTACTGTATGCAATATACCGGCGCCACAAAAGTTCTGAGCATTAACATCAATTCCAATAAGATTACTCCAACCAAAGCCAGTCAGCTATAAGCAAAGAATATTCATTGAAATATTGTCCAAATCTTGACGTAATTGAATTTACTTTTTGACGACAATCATCTTGATCAATTGGATGTTTAGCAGAAAATATTTTCTGACACTCTTGTCCAGGTCTAAATACACAAAACAAAAATATTTGAATACAAGATGAAGGAAAAGATTGATAAAAAGAAACGACTAGTTTTTGTTCTCTTTCTTACTTGTCCAAATTTCTCCATCGTAAAAAGAAATTATTTGAATCCATTTCAACTTTTTCAATAAACTTGTTGATATACAATGGAAATGAAAAATCAACTTTTTGTGGAACATTACTGTAGCTATATATAACAAAACAAAAGATCATAGATGATAGATGGATGCTTGAGAGAAAGAGTTACGCACAAGAAAGATACGCTGATTTTTGGCATATCTTGAAATTCTTTTAAACATTCAATTGTTAATAATTGTTTTGATTGGGCTTTAGATTCAATCGTGGATTTTATTTGTTCAGCATTAACTCTAAGTTCTAAAATAAATCTTTCGTAGTTAGAGAAAACATCAACTGAGAAAAAGCGATGAAAATTAAATATATATAAACAGCATACGTTGAGCTAGCTCTCCGGATAGGGTAAAGAATGTTGCCACATTTGTCATATGAATATCAGTCTTATTTCCAATATAGAGCTCACACCGACAGGTACTTTTTTGTGTTTCTAATTTAGCTCCAATTTGTATTAGATCATTTTCAAATATAATATCACTTGTTTTAAATAATAATTTTTTGCCGCTAAGTGTTGTTCCAGCAGAGGAAGAGGCAGGAATTGACTTGGATTGTTGTTGATCTAATGATGGTTGTTTATATAGATGATTTAATGACGTTGGTGCCGTTGGATTAGATAAAACTGAGGCTAATGAATAGTTATTTTCATCTGTTGATGATTCATTATCGAGCGAAACAAGAAGACCATTTTGTTGCTGTTGAACTGCATGTTGATTCAGATTAATGGCATGAGATGACTAAAAATGTATATCAAAATCAAACAAACAACACATTAACACTTGAAAACTATTCACTAATTTAGGATCCACTTGTAAAATTAAATTTTTTCATGTTTTTTACAACTTACATTTGTTAGATCATTGGTTTTATTTGTTTCTACATTCGCATTTTCATGATTAAATCCATCGGCTCCTGTTGTTGATTCATCACCGCCTGCTCCACTTGCACCTCCATCCATCATTGGTTTTCTCTGTTTCAATCTCACAAGTAGCGGTGATACTTTTTCCGGATAAGGTGGCATCACTTCTAGCACAGTGGCTAAAACAGTCGGTGTACACACTTCGCTTAATTTCAAGTATTCAATCGACCGTTGTTGAATTTCAACATCCGAACTACGAAAATTAGAATCATGACGTAAAACCTAGAAAAGATGAAAATAAATAAATGATAATTGAAATAGTGAAATATAATTAAACTTACTTCTTGTATATGTTGTTTTATTTCTGGAAACAGATTAACAAATTTCATATAAGTCGATAAGAGGAGACAACGCGTAGTTGGAGAACATAAATGATATTTCGAATGTAAAAGATCAAATTGAATCATTGGACTAAAACAAAGTGAAATATTATACAGTTTTGAGCGCGAAGAAAGCCGTTTCAAAGTATTTATCCTAACAAGTAAAAAAATTATCCGATTAAAAATTCTATCCAAAGATGAATCACTTGGATGTCGCGTATTCAGAAAGTACATACATTGACCGTGGATCTAATGCAATTAAATTTCCGTATTCTCCAAGAATGTAGCCAGCTACTTTAACCATATTTTCATGACAAGCTGGAGCTTGAAGTGCTTCAAAGGCAATTTTGGCTCCATAACTCTGGACATCCGTACGATTTACAACAACTTGAATAACACGATACCAAACCTATAAACAAAAAGGCAAACTTTAACATACGATCAGTGTCAACGTTGGACATTTGAATTTATTTTTACAAGAAATGGTAATACTTGTATAGACAGACGCTCAGCTATATAAGAAAAGTTTTTACATTATATGCTTAGCCTTCTTTTTAAGTTAGATCATATTAAAACCTAAGAACGTGTAGTAGTATCATTCCGAGTTTATACAGAATCCCAGTAAAAGTGACAATTTATAGATGTTACTAAAATTCGTGATTGATCTGCGTCTAATATGATCGTTTACCTCTTCAGAGACAAAATCGCCAGCAATTCTAATTAATTTCAACATTATATCAAGATACCATTTATAATCGACTGCATATTTTTCACCCAATATGGCTATTTTTAATACCTAAAATGATACAAATTATATCAATTTAATAAATATATTGTTTAGTGTCTTTTTACCATCTCTTCTCTTATTGTATAATCAGCTGTTTCAAGATAAGTTAACATTTCTTGAACAATATCTTGAGCATTCGATCGATCACACATTGCATATAACAAATCGACAGCACGTTGGCGAACACTAACATCACGTTCACTCTAAATTGATTGATACAATAAAACATATAACACAAGCTTCGCATTTTTAGTCTTACCTTGAGTGCACTGATAACTGTTTCTTGATGTTTTTTAACCGCATCATGTGAAAATTCTGATGTAGCTAATAAACACATGCTCTCAAGTGCCAAATATCTAAAACAAAATATCAATGAATTTTAGTTAAGATAAACAATATTTGCGCATTGCTCTTTTACCTCAAATTTGTCTCTCTATTTTGCAAAAATTGTCCTAACTGATTGCATGCTCTGACTAGGAGAGTTGATTCGCAATCCATGTGTATGATTAGATTGATTGCTTCAAACAAAACAGCATTTCTCGCATTTGAATGTTGAACTTTCTTGGATTTTAACGGTTCCTGAGCTTTATTCAAAATTGTGTCCAAGCATTCATTTAAACGACTACGAATTGAAGGATCTTCTGAAAAATGCACATAAAATAATTCACACTATGATTGTAAAGTTTTTCAAACTTGTGCTTTCCAGAAGAATATTAATTTTATCCTATCTTCTTTAAGATGTACTTTAACTTTACCTGGTGGTGGATAATTTTGGAGTACTCTCAATAACTTAACACATAACCATGGTGCAGGAACAAAATAATACGTATAATCTTGAAAATCTGTATACGACGATGTAACAATCTAAAAAATAAGAGCAATACAAAAATTGTCAAGTTTGAACTTTTTTTCAGCGACCTACTCGGCTTAATCTTGAAACAGCCAGATTGACACAAGCTTTATACTCCTCAGGATTTCGTTTAACTAGAGCTTCGATTAAGCTGACAGCAGCTGTTGCTACACCCTAAAATGGATAAAAGATATGCATGAAGGGATGCGATAGAAAACTAGATAAAGCATACCAAATGTTGATCATTCAATAAGTGAATGATTCGGCCAGTCCATTCAGTATTCATTTGTAGTGATTCAGGACTTGTTCGATGAAGTCTCAGCAGACATAGAGCAGCGGATTGTTTAACGGGGTCAATCGTATCACTGTAAAAAAAGTCTGTTTTAATTACAAAAGATACCAACCTATGTCTATCAGCTGAAGAATATTTGATCATTAACGTAAAAACGTCTAAATAATCTGACCACCTACCCTGATATGAGCAGTCTTGGTATATCGTTTGTAAATGCCGTTGCCATCTCTTTTTCTCCGATATTCGCTACACATTGTAGAGCAAGATTGATGAATATTGGATTTCTACTTTGTAAATCATTTCGAATATTTTGGATAATTAATTGCTTCATTTCTGTACTATTATTCATTATGACTGATATAAATAAATAACCCTAAACAGTTAAGATATCATGAGACCATATCTAACTCATGCTCGAGTAGTCAACTCGTTCTACTAACGACAGATAATGGTTATATTTTTTTGTAAATATACGGTGTTATTCAACTTGTACAATATTCAACTTACAATTTGTTTTTCCGTATATTTGTTTGAACTCAGTAAATTGACGGCTTCCATGTATCCAAAATCGATATCGTGTCCCAGTAAAAATATAAACAACAATTTACAAACGTATTTTTTCTTTTGATAACCATCCAGTGTTTTATCTGTTCGAAATCGTTGACGAATATTTGTTAATTCTTTATTAATACGCCTTAATTCAGCTTCGCGACTTTTACAATTTCGAATATCGCTGATGAATACTGCTAAACCACGCATACCATCACCACGCATGTTCGGCATTGTTGCGAGAGAATAAAATCAGTCGAGAACAAACAAAAATAAGAATGATCTGATATAGAGAAACAAAACAAAAAAGCATACACACAACGAAATTTATGATATTAAACTGCTACAGTAACCTCATGTGTTATTCATAAAGAGTAAAACTAATATTTACATGCAAAAAGTTTTTGAGATCAGACTGATTCTTCGAAACACAGAAACAAATTCTAACTTTACACTCAACCGATCGAAAACATTACTAATAAATAGTAACGCTATGTTACGTATAAAAATTCAGAAAGAAGTAAAAGCCTTTCAAAGACAGCATCACTTGTCTTTGAACGTTTTAATATCTTTGTTGAACACAACAAGTTTTTTTTTCTATTCATTGTTGTGTGCCGTATTGCTTCCATTTCCAAGTCCCTTTCCAGTTTTATCGGAGATGTCTTTCCATGTTTTACCGTTCAGCTGCTTTTTTGTGTTCATTGGCTACGCTGATCACAAATAAGACCACATATTTACCTTTTAGAAAAAGCAGAAAACTTTTTGAGCAAAATTCACATAAATAAAATTTTTACAGTTAAGGCTTCGTATGTACCTCAAGCGTGCTCAATTGAAGGATGGTTAGTATGGGGAATCTTTGAACACAGCTGATTGGTCGAAAGTGTTACAATTACAACTTTACTTCGTTACGCTATATGGGTAATACTAAAACGCTGAATTTTTTTACTGAATGCTGAATTGCTGAACGACGCTGATTGGCTGACTTCAAAACATGGATTTCTGCTGATAAATTCAGGATTATGATCGATACTGTGACATTTTT